TGAAAAGTGCTCTAGAATGGTTAAAAGGTGAACCCTCAGGTTGTGATGAGGGTATAGCCTCTTGCACAAGCATAGATGAAATCATTGATGTCGAGATGGTGGCGGCAGATGTCCTAACAGGGGACAAAAACGCCACATTTTGAGTTATCGTACCAACTGCTATGACATTTATGTTTTTAACATTACTATGTGTTGGGTTAGAAGTGCTAGTGTCTGTGCAAGAACACGACATTTCAGGTAATTGTTTCCCAGTTCTTAAGTTCATGCATAAACAAACATTGGTAGTATGTCATGCAAAACAAACCACATATAGAGAAAAAACAGTGATTATAACAATTTATTTGAAAATTTTAGCACAAGGTCCCACTGGACGTGCCGATTTATTTACCCTAAATTTTGGTAAACGCCGCTAGTATCTTATTAAAGATTACTTGTAAGACTGACTAGGGAGTCTTAGAACAATGTGCGTGAAGTTTTCTAAATAATGTGTAAATGGTGAGAGTGTGAATGATTTCGACAACGGGAGAAATCATGTTATGAAAGTAAAAACAAGTTGAAGTGAAACTTAACTGAAAAAGTAAAGAGTTTGACAACGAAAACCACAAAAAAGGAATGTAAATTCAAAAGTAAAGCTTTGCAAAAATGTAATCTGGTGATCAAACATGCATTGCACTTTTCAAACTCATTTCTCTCTTCTCTTGGTACTCTGAGTCTTTGTGAGTTTGGTAGTAAATTTTACTCCCTTAATTCTATTATTAGAACTACTATTTATACTTAAATCTAAATAACTGCTAAAGGCGGGCTTTTCTCTATTGAATGCCACGTTCTCCATTGCATGTCTTTTGCTTCGAAAATCGCTTCCACTCATCCTTTTAATACGAATAAGGACAAAAAGTGGTTATTCAACCACGTCGTACATTTCAACTTCCTTGGTCGAAATGTTTACACTTACTGCTTGGAAAAAATACTAAGTTCATAACTCTTTCTTTATGCTATATTTCAACATCCTAGTTCTCCACCTTCATGTCAAAATGTTGTCAGCATGTATGTCAACCATGCTCTTAAGCATCACCAAAATCTTCACTAAAAGTTTCCTCATCTTCTCCTTTATTATGATGAGATTTGAAGCTTGTTGAAAATCCTAGACATCACCTCTGCAAACAATGTTAGTTGTTATCGAACATAAGATTTAGAGAAAACACAAACTCAAAACCTTAGTGCAATTACAATTTTGAGAATATGTGAATGAGTGACTATCACTTCAACATTAGGTTTCTATTTATAAAACCACTTATATGCATTATAGCTTACATTGTATTGTGTTTTCCTAATTCACGTTCGTGCATCATAAAAGCGAACCACTAAATCATAAAAAAATCATACTCATTTATTTCATCTCTCGTCTATATATATTTATGAGGCGAGTAATTATATGTAATGATATCCATAAATATTTATGTTAGCGGCTAAAATTATGAAAAGTATTGTATAAGTTTGAAGTTGGTGAGTTGGTTCACTCCTTTAGGAAAGTTAATGGTTGTGCTAATGTGCTAGTTAAGGAAGGTAGAGTGTTGAAGGCACTACAAAAAATACTCTCACTTGCGACGTGAAATTCACGTCACAATGTGAAAATTCACGTCAGAACTTCTAATTTGCGACGTGAGTGATTACGTGGCTTGGAAACAGGTGGAAATTTATTTGCGACGTAATTTTCATGTCACAAAGTTGTGACGTGAAAATCACGTCGCAACATATTTTTATAGATATTCTGACTTTGCAGTGACAACAGAAGTAACGCAGAAAAAGAAATTTATTTGCCACGTGATTTTCATGTCACAAATTAGTGACGTGAAAATCACGTCGCAAATTAGTAACCATTCACACTTTCTCTTTGTTCAACTTTTGTTTTTTTATAAAAAAAATAAGTTGCGACGTGATTTTCACGTCACTAATTTGTGACATGAAAATCACGTCACTAATCTTTTTATTTTTATTTTTTAAAATTATATACTGAAATTTGATACTCAATATATATATATATATATATATATATATATATATATATATATATATATATATATATATATATATATATATATATATATATATATATATATATATATATATATATATATATATATATATATATATATATATATATATATATATATATATTCGTTTTATTATTATTATTTTTTATATTATGTTTTATAATATAAATACCATATATTTAATAAATATAAAATAAATTTGTATTTTATATTTATATATATATATATATATATATATTCGTTCGTTTTAAATAAAATTCTAAAATATATTTCTGTTTTATTTTTCATTTATAAAAATTATAATATTAATTTACTAACAACTTTTACAAAATAAATATCAAATTTAACCTAAATAATCAATCAATAATCCTGAAAAAATATCAAATTTTAAAAAAAATTACAAAAATATCTCTCTTGAATCTCTTTCGATCTTCTTGTTCTATCTTTTTCAAACCCTCTTCAATCTTCTTCTTATCAATTTCTTGGGAAAAAAAACATAAATCAAAATCATATTACAGAATAAACATTAAACAAAATTATAAAAAAAAATTGAAACAAAATTAGAGAAGATGATTGGCTACCTTTAAAAATTAGAAGTGGAATAGAAATTAAAATCGGAGAAGATAAAGGTAGAAAGAAGAAGATGAAACAGAAAAGGAAGAGAATGAAAGAAGAAACATAAGTGGAGAAGATATGTGAAACGGGAAAAAAAATATAAACAGTCAGCGATGTGATAATCACGTTGCAACCTTGTCACGTGATTATCACGTCGCAACGTCTCGCGCAGTCAACATCAATGCAGACAATTTTTCCCTCCTAAAAAGTTGCGACGTGAATATCACGTCACAACTTAAAATTTGAAATTTTCAAACTTTCCACCATGTGCAGGTTATAACTTTCTGAAATATATATTTTAATTAATTGGTTGCGACGTGGAATTCACGTCGCAATTTTTTTATAAAAAATATTTTTTGACTTCTCTTTTGTTAACGTTACTTTTCATAATTTATTATTAAAATTATGTAGCGACGTGATCATCACGTCACAACCTACCACGTGATAATCACGTCACAACTTCACTTCGTTGGAGAACATTTATCTTATAGTGAAGGTGGTTTCAAATTTTATTTGAAGGTTTCAAGCTTTTTTGGTGGAGCATTTTGAGAAGGATGTTACAGGATTCCAACTCCCAGAGTAATAGTTTTGTACTTTTTCTTCTTTTTGGCATTCGATCCTCCTTCTCACTAAAAAATATAAAAAGAATATATAGAAAGAAATCTTGATTTAGTTTTCAAATTTATGTTTACGATAAAATTTATATACAATTTTTTAGGTATTGAATGTACTTAAATTATATAAATGAAAATAGGAGAAAATTACATATGTATCAGGAAATTATACATTTGTCATATTTTTATTTGAATATAAAGAATTATATCTAAGTTTAATTCTTATGTTTATTGTTTGATTAATATTTTATCGTCTAAGTGAGATTTCAATGTATAAATCATTTTTTTTATATTTTTGTGTTAATTTATATTTGAATCAATGTTAATGAATGTTCTGATGACACTCTTTAAGGATATTAAATAAAAAAAATATTTTTTTTTATAAAAGTTAATTATTTTAATTTTCAATATTGATTATACACGTTTTTAAAAAAAATCTAACCAACTTTAAATATTTACGGTATGCACTTGAACACTCGTTAACACTTGTCTCTATATATTTTCTTAACATAGTACTTATACTATAAATTGTTAGAGCACCAAATTAAGAAAAGAAAATTAGGGCTTTACTGAACCTAAATTGTCTGTAATCATTAAATGACGCTTTCACACATCTAAGCGCATTTGACTATTCGATTAAGATTGGTTGGTTTTTATTTAAAGCTGATCATTTTAAAAAAAATAAATCTGTTTTTTTTCTAACCAGACGATCAAAATCAAACGGTTAATAATAGACTGAAAGTGTGAATGCAGGAAATTTTCGATTGTAGTGGATTTCATTTCGGCTTTACTAGCATGAGAGAAATTCAGCACGAGTCAAACATCTGCTTATCTTTTTCCCCCTCCTAATAATCAAGGCCATGTGATTACTTACCTTACCTAGAGTAACTAATGACTGTGAAATGCATGTTAGCCAACATGGGTTTTTTCATAATAGGAGTAAAAACATTAATGAGACAGTTACTCTTACAATTTCAGTTACTTCAGACTAAACTTTTCAAATATTTTACAACTTGAATAGTCTCATCAACCACATTGAGACATTCAGTCAAAGTCAGATACTACTTTTTAGTGATTCACTCTCTTCAATTTTATGGACAAAGAATGGCAATGGAACGTGTGAAATGGTTGTATGGGAAGTATTCATAATTTTTCTTGTTACTCTCACGCTGATTAGGGAGGAAAAGACCAAATCTTTAGTAGTGGGTATTACCTATGGGTATTCTGGGACCACAATAAAGCTATTATTATTGTGAAATTTTCATGAAACAAAAATTCCCATAGGTGAAATAAAATTTATTTTCATTTTGTAATTTAACCATATAAAGGTAGCAGTAATTTCGATTGGGCCAAATAATTAAAACCTCACCGACTGTTTTGCTGTAAGGCCACATGACATTGTTCCTTTCTCATCACACTCCCAAATCCAAAATTAAATATATAAAAAATAGATAAACAAATTAAATTTATCACCTTTAACATAATTGGTACCAAAAAAATAATTTAATTTATTTTTAAATTTAAAATAAGTGTGAATTTGTCTCTCTTCCCCTTAATATATAGAGCCTCGACCTCTTCACTTTCCAATCCTGCACTCTTCTTCACACTATTTCTCTGAAACTTGGAAAACTTGAAAATTTTCGAAGTTTCAGTTTCTCAAATTCTTCGGCATTGCCATTGAACAAACACATTTCTTTTTGAGTTTTAGTTTTAGTTTTCAATGGAAAAGTTACCGCAAGTCATTTTCATGCTTGGTCTGTTTCTATTTCCCTTTGCTTTTGCTGGGCATGACTACGGTCAAGCTCTGAGTAAGAGCATTATGTTCTTTGAAGCTCAGAGATCTGGTTACCTTCCTCACAACCAGAGAGTTTCATGGAGATCTCATTCCGGTCTTCAAGACGGTAAGGCGAGTGGCGTAGATCTAGTCGGGGGCTACTACGACGCCGGTGATAATGTAAAATTTGGTTTACCTATGGCGTTTACCGTTACAATGATGTCGTGGAGTATCATTGAGTATGGTAAACAAATGGCGAGTAGCGGTGAGCTTGGTCATGCTATGGAGGCGGTGAAATGGGGGACTGATTATTTCATCAAGGCTCATCCTGAACCTAATGTTCTGTATGGAGAGGTATTTTTCTTACTCTAGTGGCTTTTTTATTGATGATATGTTATTGTTATTATTTAATTAATTAATCGATGGTGTTGTTTGGGGCATTTTGACAAACAGGTGGGAGACGGAAACACTGACCACAAGTGTTGGCAAAGACCGGAGGATATGACTACTGACCGTCACGCTTACAAGATTGATCCGAGTAATCCCGGGTCGGATCTTGCCGGAGAAACCGCCGCCGCTATGGCAGCAGCTTCCATAGTCTTCCGCCGTTCTAACCCTGCTTATTCTCATGAGCTACTCAGTCATGCCTACCAGGTTTCACTTTCACATCATTAAACACTCTTAATCACTCTTAATTCATTATTATTAGTTTTTTTTTACAAAATAAAAGGGTAAAATAGGAAGATTATAGAGAGTAGATAAAGAAAGTTGAAGCATGTGCGTGGGTTGTTTTTATACTCTTATCAGCAAAAATTTTGTTGAAACGGTTGAATATGAAACTAATAGGCAGTTAGTAGTACTATACTTTTATTTATGACTCTTTTGTCAGAGATTTTATTGCTACCAAATTGTGCCGCATGGGTCGGTAGAGAATCATTTATTGATTTCAATAAATATAAAATTAAAATAAAACATAATTTTTTGTTTTTTTAAAAATAATGTAGTGACTGAAATTTCATATTTTAAAGGTATGATTTTAAAGGTATAACTGCATAAGTAGAATGTCGTGCGTCTCAAACATATTATCTTTTTGTTTTAGCAGATGAGATACAAGTGATCCACACATTTAATTTTTTTTATCATTAAAATGAAATTTATTAAAGTAAATATTTTTATGGACCCATAAAAATATATTTTGTACTACACTTGTGGAATTTTGTTTCCCGCTTTTTCTTTTGTCTTCTTTACTCTTTACTTTATTAAGCAAGTGTTCACACAATTTAGGTTTTTTCTCAAAACAACTAAACAAGTGTGAAAGAGGGAAATCAATATTTAACCATTTTTTATTTATGTTGCTCACTATAATAAGTTGTGGTCCAAAACAAAACAAAAAAAATTGAATTCTATTTAATAAAAAAACCGGTTCGGTTTTTTATGACTAGTGAAGGGGCAATTTTTGTGTTGGTAAACGCATTTGACCGTACACATTGAAATTTGTGCGGAATTAGATCCTAAACTTCTGAATGAAGAGATTCACATCACAAAAAAACGAAACTTCGTTACACAACTTTGTCATTTCACGAGACACACTGTCGGTGCTACAGAACCTTCTTTTTGGTCGAAATTAACATTTAATAGCACAAGTGGGTTGATCCGCAACCATCAATTTGTTTCGGTTTTTTTGTTGCTTACTAGAACCATCGCGTTAACATTGGACCTATTTTCTCGCTGTCATGTGCCTCTATACTGTTTCTGTTTTCTGTCACTGTTTTTGATAGGTGAAGACACATGTTGCATTTAATAACTCATTTATTGTATAGTTAGAATCTAGGTTGAGTTATTAAGAACGAAGTTTCAAAGATGTTTCTGATATTCTATTTTACTGTTGTTCTAGATCTGAATCTGATTTCATCAGTTTTTAGGTAGTTTAGTTGACACCTAATAAATGAGCATACCTAATACCCTAATTACCAATATTAGTAATTAGGCTTGCTCATATCAGATAAATTAGCAGATAATTTATAGTTTATAATTGATGACTGATGTCAATTTATAGTTGATAATGGACTATTCTATTTCTATATGGAATCACTAAACTAATTTGTATCTGGTTTTGATGAATTGCAGTTGTTTGATTTTGCGGATAAATATAGAGGCAAATATGACAGCAGCATCACAGTTGCACAGAAGTACTATAGATCTATCAGTGGCTACAATGTGAGATATTCGGGTTTAATTTAATTGCGGATGAATATAAAACTTTACATTTGAAAATTTGAAATGCATATTCATGATTGAATGTTGGTAATTGTATGCACAGGATGAATTGCTCTGGGCTGCGGCGTGGTTGTATCAAGCATCTAACAACCAATATTACTTGGATTACCTCGGTAGAAATGGTGACGCCATGGGTGGAACTGGTTGGCAAATGACTGAATTTAGTTGGGATGTTAAGTATCCTGGTGTTCAGACTTTGGTTGCCAAGGTAACATCAATTTTTAAGTACCGTATAGATATTGGTACCGGAATGAGTTATGATTGTATGTGTTTATTATCAAAGATTTATGGCTAAACAGTTTTTGACTTTTTCTTGATGTGTAGTTCCTGTTGCAAGGAAAAGCTGGCATTCATGCACCGGTTTTTGAAAGATATCTGGAAAAGTCTGAGTATTTCATGTGTTCATGCATGGGAAGGGGTACTCACAATGTTCAGAGGACACCCGGTGGCCTAATTTACCGCCAGAGATGGAACAACTTGCAGTTCGCCACAAGTTCCTCCTTTTTAGCAACAGTCTATTCTGACTACCTCGCTTCTTCTGCTAGGGACTTGAAATGTGCTTCTGGCTATGTCGCTCCGTCTCAACTTCTCTCATTTGCAAAGTCTCAGGTGGATTACATTCTTGGGGACAACCCGAGGGCTACGAGTTACATGGTGGGATACGGAAACAATTTCCCTCAAAGAGTTCACCACAGAGGTTCATCCATTGTTTCAATCAAGGCCAACCCTTCATTTGTCAGCTGTATGGGAGGTTATGATACTTGGTTTAGCAGCAAAAGGAGCAACACCAATATACTAACTGGTGCTATTGTTGGTGGACCTGATGCATATGATGACTTTGCTGATGAAAGGAAGAACTATGAACAAACGGAACCAGCAACCTACAACAATGCTCCTCTTATAGGTGTTCTTGCTCGGCTCGGTGGTGGTCATGGTGGTTATAACCAGCTCCTTCCAGGTATTGTCATCATTATTTGCCTCACTCTTACCATAAGCAAATTTTCTGGTGATGGTATAAATAATTGCTGTGTTTTTTTTTCCTCGCAGTTGTTGTTACAGCTCCTAACCCTGTTGTTACCAGGCAACATTCATTCACCAAACCCAAGATAACCCCATCCCCGGGTACTGTTAGCATATGATTTGTTTAACTATCTGATAAATATTTTCATTTTTCAAAGTCTAATTGAGGAACTTCACTTTTTTCAGCTTCATGGTCCGGTCCAATTTCCGTCGAACAGAAAATGACTCACTCATGGGTTGCAAATGGAATAACTTACTATAGATATTCAACAACTGTTACTAACAAATCAAACAAGATTCTCAAGTCTCTCAATCTTTCAATATCCAAGCTTTACGGTCCAATCTGGGGACTAACAAAGTCTGGTGATTCATACACATTCCCAGCTTGGATTAACTCATTATCGGCCAGTAAAAGCCTTGAATTTGTCTACATCCATTCTACCTCTCCTGCAGATGTCTCAGTCGCGAACTACTTGTTGGCCTGAGAATAATCAATCTGGCTTAAAAAGTCAGACGCGAGCGCGAAAGGTTTATTGCTTTCTTGTGTAATATGAAATGTGCAGTGAGGTGAGGAGAAGTTCTTCTGATTCTCTCCTTTTTCATTTTGGTGTCAAATTTCTTCTACTCTTGTGTATTTTGCATTTCATTAGGATAGATCAAAATAGATAGATTATATAAGATGGAAGGAGCGGAAATAGAAAGGAGCGACGAGACCGAAAATGAGTGCTCATCCTCTTTCTAACCGCTTGACAACTTATATACAGTGAGTAATACAAGACAGACAGACAGCGAGACAAAAAGTGTTTGGTTGAGAAGTTCAGAATATAAATGAACTTCTTAACATGTTAGAGAAGAGTCATCACTTGTATTTTTTCTATGTGTGATGTTACATTGTAAGCTTTGCAGCATTTGTACTCCAAATATAATAGTTTGTGCTAATAGTATTATAATTTTGTGCTGTGCAATGCTAGTTTTGGTTATTTCAAGTATATTTCAAAGATTTCTTTTTTACAACTAAAAGATGAAGGACATATCTGAAAATTATGAACTTGAGAACATAGACATAGACAAGGACATATCTGAGAATGAACTTTCATCAACATGGTATGGTACACAACCATACAAAAATGAATTGATGACAAGGTTACTCCTAGGCAACTGCCAGTTTTGTAACGGACAACATTTTATCATCACTTGTAGTGGGATTCAACGTTGAAAGGATTGAAAAGTATGATACTTTTTGTGTGGTGTTAGAAACAAGAATAAATTTAGTTATTAAATCTGAATTATTTTTTGAGATGTACTGTTTATTGGATTCATCAGATAATGAGGATAAGAAGATAGATGCACACATTTCTTAAACCAATGAAAATCGAGTCACAAGTAATGCCTAATTTACTCTTTCAAATCGAGGGTTGCAGTAATCTTAAAAAATGTAGAGTGTGATCAATAACTTTTTGACAAGTAGTAGATTCTTTTTCTCATATTCTCACTAATTAATAGATTTTCACTTTTTTTCGGTGAACTTAAATTTAAGTAGTTAATTTAAAATAGGAAAATGCTTTCATTTGACGGACACATAATAACAAGCGTAACATCATATCAGTATTAGATAAATGCTTAAATTTATCTTATATCATATTATAGATTTAAGTTAATTTAAGTGGTTGATAAAATGATTCCTTAATTTTTTTAGACAAGAATCATTTATCTTATAGTATATTATAGGTTTAACACATTTATAATTGATGTATAACTAAATATTCGTTTATGAGTCTAAGAATTAGAAGAGACGAGATATCAACCAATATGTTTTTATTAGAAGGGCTATCAAATTTGGTTATGAAGCCGATATATTGATTTTCTTTGTGGATGATATGTGATTATGAGACGTCCTTGTTTTTATTAGAAGGGTCATCAAATTTAGTTATGAAGCTGATATATTGATTCTTTTTGTAGATGATATGTGATTCTGAGACGTCCTTTATCACGTAATTTATCTTTAACGTCTTGAATCAAAACAATATATGTGGTATTTGTCGGTGGAAATCTCGAGAAGATTGATATATAGAGAAAAATATGTGTAGTTGTTGAAAATAATTCTTTATGTCGAAGCAATTTGTTCGGCAGAGACAAGGGAATGTCGAAAATATTTGATTTGATTCAGAAGTGTGGAAACATTTTGTTACACACAGATTTGTTTTAAATTTAGATAGATTTGATTTAGATCTAAAATAGATATATTTGATTTAGTTTCAAAATATGTATTTTGTGCTTTTATAGTTTTGAACTTTGGCTTAGGGAGCAAGCTAACCTAAAATTATAAATAGAGGGAGTAATCCTTATTTTTGTAATCAAGTCAATTCATTGTATTCACAGAATTTGCCGTTGCAAGTGAATAATAAAGTTTTCCACAGTTCGTAGGCAGAGAGAAACTCTGCAGAAAATAATTGTCTTCTCATTCTTTCTTTCTTTCTTTCATAATTCATTGTTATTGTGTGGTCATATCAATCTTGTTCATCAAGATTGGTAGAAATTCATTATAGATTTTGGTGGATTTCCAATTGTAACAAATATTGAAAGTGTAATTCCTTGTGTCGAAAGCAGAGTACGTTGTTCGACACAAGGTGTGTCAAAATAGCCTAAGTGTGCGTGTCGAATTGTTTGTCGAGTTGTGCATGTCGAAGTGTCGAAGCAGGTTGCTTCATATAAGATTTCGACTTAGGTCTAAAATAAGTATTTTAGACTTTTATAGTTTTGGACTTTTTGTCTTATGGAGAAAGCAAGCTCATTATAAATAGAGGGAGTAACCCATATTTTTGTACACACCCATAATAATTTATATTCACAGAATTTGCAGTTGCAAGTGAATAAAGATTTTCCACAGTTTGTGAGCAGAGAGAAACTATGCAGAAATCATATCTCTTTTCTTCTTTAATTTTCTTTTCTTTTCATCGTTATTGTGTAGTGATAACAATCTTGTTCACCAAGATTGATAGAAATTCTCTATAGATTTTGGTGGATTTCCAACATCTTGTATCAAGAGCTCCGGTTGAACGATCAAGGGAAGAAGAAGAAAATTACAATGGCGGTGAATTATGCGAATGTGAATTTTCTAGCAAGTCTTCCAATTCTAAAAGTTGATAACTATGAAAATTGGTGCAAACAGATGAATGTTATATTCTGTTATCAAGGTCTTTGGGGTCTTGTAAAAAATAAGTTAGAACCGCTTGATGAAGATCCTTCAGATGATGAAGATATTGAATATAAAAAATTGGAGAAGAAGAATTATAAAGCTATCTTTATAATTCACCAATGTGTTAGTCTAGAAAATGTTGAAAAGGCCAGTGATGTAGAATTTGCAAAAGAAGTCTGAGAGGTTCTTGAGAAATCTTTTAGAGATGCAGAAAAGGTGAAAGAGGTGAGGTTACTAACTCAGAAAATAACATATGAATTGCTTCAGATGGAAGATAGCGAAAGCATATCTGATTTCTTCACTAAGGTTACGAAACTAGTGAATCAAATCAAGGTATATGGAGAAATGTTAACAACTAAAGCAGTCGTTACAAAGATCTTGAGATATTTGGCCCCTAAGTTCGATCACGTGGTGGTGGCTATAGAAGACGGGAAAGATTTGTCGAAATTAACAAAGGAAGAACTTCAAGATACACTTCAAGCTCATGAACAAAGAATTGATGAGAGAGTTACGTGCAAGTCGAATAGTGATGTGACTTTGCAGGCACATTCAGCAAAAGAAAGTAAAGGCAGAGGAAAGTGGTTCGACAAAGGTAAAAATGATTACAATAATTTGACTAGTAGAGGAAACCAGTAGGAATGAATTGTGCCGAGTCAGAGAAGACCCCATACCAAGATAACTAAATAGGTGGTGCTAGAGGTAGAGGAAGAGGTGGTGGTAGAAAACCTAACAAGAGTCATATTTAGTGTTATAATTGTCAGAAGTATGGTCACCATTCTAGTGATTGTCCAAAAAAGAGAAATAATTAAAAGAGTGATGCAAAGTTTGCAAAGTATGAAGAAGAGATGATGTTGATGGTCACAATAAAAGATGAAGAGAAATTCAAGGACCAATGGTACTTAGATTCAGGATTCTCATCACACATGTCTAGAAAGAAAGATTAATTTGTCAACCTAAAACCCTCAATAAAGAACATGGTAAAATTTGCAAATGACAATACTCTAGCAGCTGAAGGTATTGAAGATGTTCTGAGGAAAGATAGAAAAAGGTAAGTAATTTCCAACATATTATATATACCAGGCATGAAGAGCAACTTGCTCAGCATATGGCGGTTGGTAAAAAAGAATTACAAAGTTTCGATCGAAAACAAGATGATGAGAGTCATTGACGCATGAGGAAGGTTAATCTTGAAGGCTCCTATGTCTCAAAATAGAAGTGTTCTGGTATGGCCCAGTGACTAAGCATGGCCCACTCCACTTCTGCTATTAGGGTGGCCCAATAGCTTTGGTCCAATCGGTTTGGACAGACAAATGACACTTTTCCCTTCTACCCCTCAGTAGGGGACGCATGGTCAGTTGCCACTTAGAACCAACAAGACCACCGCCTCCCTTAAACCACACCTCTTCCCGCGTCAACGACTAGTTTCACGCTTCCTGTCACACTAGGAGTAACCACCAAGGAACGACCTTAATAAATCTACTCGCAACTACGCCTTTGCTCGAAGCAACAGCTAGTTCCGAGAAGATATGCTCCTTGTAACGGCTAGTTCCTGGAAGTTACCTATTTTTAGAGACCTGATATTCAGACCCAAAAGTAGGAACCAATGGCCAAGCACCAAAGGCACTATATAAACCCTCACACTTGTGAGGGTCAAGTATTCAATATTCACTCTAAAACCCTAAACTTTATCTTGTATCTTTTTGCACTCTTACTTATTTGAGCATTAGAGTGCCTTACAAATACACCCCTCCTCCTTAATTCCAGCCTTTCAAACGTCATCTATCGGCCCATTACAGGTTCTGGTCACTGGTAAGATCAGTGGCGCCATCTATGGGAAACTGTTTTCCTCATCTTTCTTTCCCCAGAAACTAAAGATCAAAATGACATTTCAAGATTCAAATCATGACCGATCAGGATGACATATATCTCGTTGGCAAAACTGTCCTCTCCCCTGTCCGCAAGATAGACAATGATGGAGGAACACATCTCCACAAAGACATTCCCCTGAAAGATGGCTGCATCGCGTCTCCCTCCTCTAACGATGCTGAGGACGACGATGTCCACTTCTTGGAAGACGACAAAAAGGTCCAAGAAGGAGCACCAATCGTATTCCAACATGTTCAGGTACTAACCAACGCTGACCCAGCCATGGCAGCGTTACTCACAAAATTTAATCGGACCAACACTCTGATACTACAACAAAACAACGTGATCGGGGCCTTGGAGAAAAACTACTGCTCAAGATCTCCCCCGAGGAGATACAGAGGATGTAGGTCTCACAACCCATCA